GAAACCATGAGACCTATGTTTCTTTGGCTGCACCCAATTATTAAGTATGACCAGACTTATTCCCAATACTAATCTTGATGTCTATGATAATCAAAGAAAAGCTCAGTAGGATCCCATGAGACTCATTGAAATCTAGATCAAGTTCTCCCTGAAATATATATTGAGTTTACTTTCAAAGTTCCATTTATACTCGCTATGACTTTTAGGAAACAGGGTCTTAGCGGTTATTTCTCTGGATTGTGTAAATAAAATTTTGCTATTTTCATAATCCTTCACATTTCTGAAAGAAAAACACAGTAGGCCCTTTTCATGGATATATCACTCTCAGAAGATTCTTAAAACTTCACAGTAATCAAATGGATTCATTCATATAATTCTTTTTTAGTTCATGCATGTTCATTCTTATATTCTTTTGGAACTCTTTCATATCATCTGAGGAGGCCCTGGATTCTTTCTGTGAAGCATTGCTAGAGTAATTTGGGCATCATTGACTTATTCAAATATAATAAGCCTTGTTTAGTACAGAAATTTTAAAATTTACTTCAAAAATGAGGTTATAAAGCATTTTATTGCTGTTTTGATTTTTGAGTAAACCCAAGAGACCTGAGTTGCCATTCTAAGTTGTTATATTATGGATTTGTATTTATAGGTATCCTTATTGCAAAAATATTCTAGGAATTCCTCCTTTTCAAACTAGCTTTCAAGCAGATTGTGACTGATAGCATTTATCAAATTATCTCAAAATATAGCATTTTGGAAATAGATTTGATTATCATTAAATTATCTTTATGATGTGCTCATAAATATAGGATCATAATTGTTTTATATATGTTTATATTCATGCTTACTATATATTAAATACATATTAAGTTTGTGTATTTATCTAACCCAAAGTGGTCTTACTCATTTAGTTTATATACCTATCATATTATTTTGGTTTGTATATTGTGGCTATGTCATATATATATACATATATATATATATATATATATATAAGTTTACCATTGAAAACTACAAAGAGGTATTATTTTTGAATAAACTTTTTATGGTTTGTCTATATTAGTTACATTGTCAAAGTAACACATGAAATATTTTTACCTGGTGTCTAGAATTCCTACAATTCAGATATTGACATTCAATATTTCAGTGCATCAAACCATTCCCAGGTTCTCCTTTGCAATTTAACTAGAAAATAGTGGCACTATGGCAATCATGTTGGCTGTATTTGAATATCATTGACATAGAAGGGCCTACTGTGCCCATTTTTTTATGCCAGTCCAATTGCTTGAATTCCATGCCTATGCACTGTCTCTGAGCTCTTTGCTCAAGGATAGCACAATTGCTTGAATTTCAAGCATATGCACTGTCTCTGCTCAAGGCTAGCACTTTACCTTTTGAGTCATAGCTCCATTTCTGTTTTTTTTTTATAGGTCACTTAGAGATAAGGGTCTCTCAGACTTTTCCTGCCCAGGCTGGTTTCAAACTGTGATTCTCCCATTTCAGCCTCTTGAGTAGCTAGGATGAGTGGCTTAATCCTATCTTTAAAATACTTCTGTGAGTGGCAGGTGGAATTAGGAGAGGATATGACATTATATGAACTACTTATACAGTTAAAAATCTAAACCTGGAAAGACTTGGGAATAATTATATTAAGTGAAGTAAGCCAGGCCCAAAGAAACATAGGTCCCATGGTTTCCCTTATTTGCAATAACTAGT